TGTTGATTTGATTTTTGGTGTATTATTTTATCATGACAAGTAACAGATCAATTTCGAATTTTGTTTCGGTCTGATGATTTTGTGCAGAGTTATGGTCCTTGGACTTAGAAAATTCACTCAAATAATAAGTTTTCCGCACCTTTTTTCGTCATGCTTGAAGATTTTGATTTGAAAATTGGTATATAGTTTTATCATGACAGATCAAGTTCGAATTTTGTTCCAGTCTGATGATTTTTTACAGAGTTATGGTCCTTGGACTTAAAAATTCACTTAAATAATCAGTTTTCAACACTTTTTTTCGTCATGCTTGAAGATATTGAATTGATATTTGATATATAGTTTACACCATGACAAGTTATAGATGAAGTTAGAATTTTGTTCCAATGCAATGAATTTTTAACCGGTTGGGGACTTTGTAATGCCATGCAATACTCACAGAATGCTTGTTATGTTTAACATATGAGAGTTTCAAGGGTAAATAAATATATATATATATATATATATATATATTTTTCAATAATACATACAAAATTTTGAATGTGATATAAATATTATAGAGGTTTAAAAAGATGTCATAATTCTTTTAAGCTTTTATTGCAATTATATAATAATTTGTAATTCTAATATTGAACTTCAGTCTATGCCATACCCATGAGTAAACAAGAATTATATAAAGTATGCATTTAATGAGAATTGGAAAATTATTATAAGTTTATATTTGTAGATGATGTTAGGAGGTGCTTGGTATGATGAACTTGTGGACAGATTAGGTAACTTGCAGGAATCAACCATCCAGGATTACGCCTGCAAAGTTTTAAGCGAACAATTAGATATAAAGATTGAGCCATCTGCTGTGGTAGTGACCATACAAAAGGTACGATTTATCTCAGGAGATAGTATTCAAGTATTGATTTTGAGTAACAATACTTAAAAGTTTGAAGTAGTTATCCTATTCACAGTAAATGTTTATGATATAGTGCTTGTTTTTGAAATTACAAACAAATACTAGGTATGTCAAAATACAAAGAAACAACGAAGCTATGGCTGTGCCAAGTTAAAAAAAATAGATGTTAACTTTTTAATATGCAATTACTCCAGATTATCTTCAAAGGTCTTTTTGAAGTGAGAAAAAATAACTGATCATGTACAAAGTAGCTATTTCATACTTGACAAATAGATATTTAGAATTTTTCTTGTTTATCTATTTCTTGCTCTAGCAAGTACAGGATAGTACACATACATGAGACAAACTGATTCAAATACCATTAGTTTTAACACATGTATATACCCTTTCTCTACTGATGTCATTTTATTAAAGCAGAATACTTCGGTTACTTTTATAAACTATTACTATATACTTACATAAACAAGTATGAACAGAAATAGATGAAAACTATGCCACATCTAGTGAACAAAAATAGATGAGATACATTTACTTTAAACATATTCTATTGTCAATAAAATGTTTCGCTGAGCGCAGCCTGATACGTCCGCAGAGGTCAAACCCTGAACAGTTGGGGCAAATTTGGACACAATATTCAAGCTTGATACTGTCTGAATTTGGATTGTGATCAAATTTTTGACAAAATATAGGTTTCTGACACAAAATAAATGTGGTCAAAGATCTTACAAATCTATTGCACAATACTGTGCAGTTAAAGATTTCTTCTTGAAACTTTTCAAAAATTCGAAATTTGAAAAATTTTGAAAAAAAATATGAATCCCTTAAAAAAATTGTAAACAAAAAATCCCCCCCCCCCCCCCCTTCAACTTATTGAAACCCCCCTTGGAGCAATAACCCCAAAACTCAATCGCAGCCTTTCCTTTTTAGTATGGAACCTTGTAGTACAATTTCAGAGAGATCCATACACTTAAACACAATTTATTGTCTGGAAACTAGAAAAATGCTTCTTTTTGGTCCTTTTTTGGCCCCTAATTCCTACATGTTTGGGGCAATTAACCCCAAACTCAATCCCAGCCATCCCTTTGTTATATGGAACCTTGTGGTACAATGTCAGAGAGATCCATACACTTACACACAAGTTATTGTCTGGAAACTAGAAAAATACTTGTTTTTGGCCCCTTTTTGGCCCTTTATTCCTAAACTATTGGCCCCATAACCTCTTAAATGAATCCCAACCTTCTACTTGTGGTATTAAACATTGTGGTACAATTTCAGAGCAATCAAAATACTTATACACAAGTTATTATCCTGAAACTAGAAAAATCTTTGTTTTGGGCCCCTTATTCCTAAACGGTTGGGACCATCATCCCCAAAATCAATCCCTACCTTCCTTTTGTGGTATTGAACCTTCTTTAAAAATTTCATAGAGATCCATTCACTCTAACTAAAGTTATTGTCCGGAAACCAATGTGTCTTCGGACGATGACGCAGACGACACCAACATCATACGATCCCAAAAAATTGTTTGCGGTTGTAAAAAAATTGAAAAATGACAATCTATAGGACACAAAAGAAACAACCAATCAATCAAACTAATGAGGTCTTCTGGAATAAATTAGATGAACATTAAGACTGATAGGGTATTTTGTATTATTTATTTATGATCTATATATACTGTAAATTCAGAAATTATTGCGTGCATTTATTATTGCGATTTTGTCTTTTTAGACTAAAATGCGATTTTTAATTTTGGCGATATTGAGAAAAATCCTGTTAAATTCATATCAAAAATTTCAAAATGCGAGTTTAAGTTATTGCGATTATAACCCTGTCGCATTTTTCGCAATAATAAAAACATTGCAATAATTTCTGAATTTACAGTAGCTTGATATATTACATAGAAACCTGTCTATTGTTGAACTTTATGTTCACCTTCAGATTAGGTGTTATTTTTTGTGTCATTGGGTTGCTGTCTCATATATTGTATACCCAAGATCTCCTTTAATTCATATGTTTAAATTTATTTATTTATTTGTAGAACTGCATACCACAGTACTTCGTAGGACATAGTAAACTTGTGGAATCAATAGACAAATGTGTAGCAGACAGTGGTTTACCTTTAAGTCTTGTTGGAAGTTCTTATAAAGGAGTTAGTGTCAATGATTGTATTAATAATGCAAAACTGACATTGAAACAATTTGATCATGGAATTAAAAAAGTTGAACTTCCTGATTAAGAAAATATTGATAAAAATAGTAACAGAAAAAATTTTGTTGTTTTTCTTTATATTTTCTTTTTTTTAATTCTTTATTTTAGAATATTTTGATCAAAAAAATATGAATGCTTGTTCTGTCTTTTGGCTTGGTACAGCTTGGTACACATCTGAACAGTACGTTTCCTTTAAGATGAAATAGCCTCTACTTAATCTCATAGTTATATAAAAATAAAGAGATGTGATACGATTGCCAATGAGGCAACTATCCACCAGAGACCCAAACATGTGGATGTACACAGCTACAGGTCACAGTATGGTCTACGACAATGAGCAATACCATAAAGTAAAATAAGCTTTAAAAGGCCCTATCATGACAATATGTTAAACAATTCAAACTTGATAAGAAAAAGGCATGAATCATGATACATTGTAATTCAATAAAAGAAAAACATGTGCAGTGGGGTAGCAAGGTTATGTGTGAAGTGCACGCATAATCTGTTGTCTAAGGCCCGCCTGGAAGCTCAGAGGATTAAGCAAATGCAAAGAACAATTTTGATTTTGGAAATTTATCTGGTCTGTCTCATTTTCTTTAGAATTATATGTGATGACAGGGTTCAGTTATACCTAGATAAAAGGATAAGTGTGTTGGACTGATTCATTGACGACAATTTAATTATAAACCAGTATAATGGGACTCAGTAAATTGTCTATTGAGTATGCTAGAGAACTCAACAGAGACAATTGACATTCAAGTTGTGACGCAAACATTACGAAACCTTGTAATATGTAATTGTAACATAATGTTACAAATTAGATTATATCATTGACTTAGTCATAGGCCTGAGCATTGCTGGTTTTGGCCTGTATAATGAGACCAAAGCAGTATGTTGATGACGAAAAAAATCAATACAAAGAAGGAACACCAATAAAGCCAATAGTTGTACATATTCAAGATTGATTCGTACTATAAAAAAGGAGTCTGGACAACAAATCATACAGACTCATAACAATACAATTATTCCAGTTTGCTTAACATACCGAGTATTAAAGGAAATGGTTATACAAATGCGAGACAGCATTCTATCGTTGTAGATAAAAAAGGTCAAACGACACACCTAAATATCAACAAACATCCTACAACAATTGACACAGATCTGAGAGTACTTGCAGTTACTGACAGCAAGTTCAAATCCAATAACAACTAATAAAAAAATCAAGCATCTAAGACTAAAATATCAATCAGTACACATCCAATGGATTTAGTGTAAAGATTAATTACCTTCAAAGGCAATAACTCTAATAAGGAGTCAACTAACAATTTAAGCCTTGACCTATTTGTAGATCGTGTCCTGCTGATTAATTTTGCTAAATTTTATTATTGACTATTTATTTTCATTTGTTGCTATGCATGTTTATTTTTTTCGGCTCCTTAGCCGCACAAAATTTATTAGCATATTTGCACACAATTGTTTCCTGCATTTTGTCTTGCAGAATATTCATTTTGATCCAGCCAAAATTACCAGCCGGACAAGATACAAATGTAGTGACATCCAAAGTTTCCATACAACACAAATAGTTTATCATATTGTATCATTTTATGCAAAAAAGCCAGTTGAGCGACACATGATTCTTGTAGCCTCTACTTTTCTATTCCAATATTCAACTGATGTGTGACAAACACTGACAGATAGCAGCTAAATTGCAATCACACAACAAAGTGTGATTCCTGGAATTTCTTATAATATAATCGAAGAAGGCTTGACCCCAAAAACATATAGAACTATTGCATGAATGGTACTTTGAACTAAAATGCACTAATGTTAATTCCATTTCTCTGTTAACACATCTTTAACCAGGCCCCAATCAATCAATAACAATTCATTAAACTTTTTTTTTAATTTTTATTTTCGTTTTATAAATGCATACATAGTAAATAAGTATATAGAAAACATAGGAATCATGAACAAACAACCATACATCATACACAACAATATGACAAAAACCATACATTCTAATCACTGATTTTGCACAATAATAATCTTTCATTAGTATCCAAGATTTTTTTAAGATAACCAATAATGATAATACAACTTTAATAAGATGGAATTAATCTTTTCTACACTACTTACACAAAGATTTCTATTTTGCCTGTGTAGTATGATTGGTCATAAGTGCTTATTGTGTTAGTCTGAGGAGGAGCTGCATATCAGCTATCCATACATCAATAACAGACATAAAATAGTAAAGTTATCTTAACTTTTCATAACCAGAAAATGGTAAAACTTGCAAAGCATTCTAATAAGTGGCAGTTTTCAACATATTTTAAACCAAATTACAGATACTAATAATGTAAATATTTGAGGTACAGATTGTTTGATGAGGAGTTGCATCATTTATTGATCAATTAGTAAGTTCGTGCTGAATGTTGTCTAAATTCACCAATACATCATTTCTTGCCTTCAACCATTATTATATGGTATCCAAATTTAGTTTTGACAGGTGGGTCTGTGTAATTAGGATTTCCCAGAGAGCTTATAGGGAGAGCAAAAGCTGCATCTTGAAAGGGACCAACCATACTTCCTCTGATCATCCAACCTAAATCACCCTGCAAATAATCAGAAAAGAAACAATGAAAACATTGAAAATATCATGAACGGCTTTTTGTACAAAATATTGTGAATAATTGAATAATATAACTCCTACGCCATTTTTTCTCATTTTACCTGTCAATCAATGTAAGAGTAAAAGATCTGATTTAATCAGATTGGTCAAAGTCAGGCCAACATGATGTGTACTCAATGCTGGAGGAAGAATTCATACTGCAGGGGGTATGGCCTGGGGTAAATGGTGCAAAATCTGCATTCTGGCAATTTCCTTGGACTTAAAATGACCTCACAGAAATCTTATTTTCATAAGTAACACATCTACTTTTGAAAAAAAAATATTTGAGAAAAACAAACAGGTACTTCTGAAAAATCAAGGATCATTTCCTTTTCTTTCTTTTTTGGAAGATGTCCAAAACCGTGTCTGCTGAAATTTGTTTTTCACGGTATATGTTTAATAGACCAAGCCCAGATGAACCAAAATAAAAAAAAACATACAAGACTAACAAATGCCAGAAGTTCCTGACTTGGGACAGGCACAAAAATGCGGCGGATTAAACATGTTTTTATGAGATCTCAACCATCCCCTATACCTCTAGCCAATGTTGCCATCGAGACCGGCATACATGCAAATACGTTAAGTATATTAAAGATTCCCGGGTATAAATCCTTGTTTATCATTTAATGTTTCTTGTAAGTTGTTAGGAATGTCATCAAAATCTCTCGTCCACTTTGCTAACCATCTCCGAATTTTCCGATTGAAATTCTTCTTTTGTAACATGGGCATCATCTACATTGTACATTTTCATCAAAGATTATGTCTCCAACAGCTATAGTAAGTTGAGCAATGTTTACTTTTTAATTACTTTATTACTTTAGTTTTATTCTTACTAGATTTACCATATTTTTATTTTTGTCAAATGTACGATGTGTAGGCATATGCATTTTTGCGTACGAGTTGCTACGTGCCTGAAAGTTCAAGGTGCTTATAAAATTAAATAGACTAATTTTTTGGTGAAAGTTTGGTTTCCAATTAATATCTTTTGATATCTTTTATAATATATATCAGACATTAACCAATCTTGGAAGATAATATTCCTTGGAGTGAAAAAGACTATTGATTTTGAGGTGAATTTGTCAAAAGTTTAGATCACAGCAGCAATTAATAGACTGAAATATGGGCAAAATTTTGGTTTTTCATCATTTGACATTAATTGATAAAAGACTATACAGTCTTCATCCCAAATACCATTATAAAAAAGCAGTACAAGTACCAAACACAAATTGCTTCTTCTAGTACAAATCTATAAGATTGCTTATGCACCACGGTGCTCCTGTATTTTTGTGACTTGAAACAAGAAATTATTTTACTAATGACAAGATTGGCATAAAACTGGTGTAGAAAAATCAATGAGATATATTTGATATTGCCTTCAGTACAGTAGTAGTCTGTGGCGGATCCAGAAATTTTCATAATGAGGGGCCCACTGACTGCCCTAAGAGGGGGCCCACTCCAGTCATGCTTCAGTGATTCCTTCATATTTGCCAGTCATGACCTAAACTGAAAGCTATTTGTCCTAAATGGAAGATTGGGATTTAGGACAAATTTATTTTTTTGACAGAAGTAATTTCGGTCATCTCATTGAGATCGGGTTTCATAATCGCCATTTTGCACTTGCTTTTGTTCTGTGATCCCTTTCCTGTAATAAAACTGCCACTCCAGTATTGTTTGATAATCCTGAGGGCCCTCCTAATAACTATATTAATGCCTCAGGGAAATATTGGCTAATGATCGCTAATCACTTTTTACCTGTGTTTTTAATTCAAACCTGACATTGATCACAACCCCAGAACTAACATCATAAAGAAATTAAAATTCCATGATAAGTGTCTTCAATATTTAATTGCTTTTCAGCAAAGACAATCGTCAATTCTGATTTAAAAATTAAAACTTAATTTAATTATGTTTTCACGAGTTACATGTGTGCTTTATTTACTATGTAATATCATTATGCATGCGTGAAATTGTCTTCAGTAGATTAGACACTTAATCGTAAAATGCAAAATGATTTCATGCTAAATTAAACAAGTAACAATAACATTGCCAAATCAAAAATGAGAAAAAAACAAGTCCACATAAAACTACAAAGAAAACTAAAGATGAATAAGGATTGAAATTTGGGTGTCCAAAAAAACTATCCAACCAAGTAGACATTTTCATTTTTTTTTTTTAATTTTTGTCTAGTTTTACAATTTTTAACCACAGCTATAAAAGTATCTACTCTTGGTGCAATATGAAATAAGGCATCTGCTGGTTATTTGGAGTAAAAGCACTCACATGTCATATTATCTTCAATGAAAAAAGGAGTGACTTTCATAGTAAATCACCATGTGATACTGTGAGGAAACACCAGCACTCAACTTAATCCTGATGTGTGTAAAATATTGTTTAATTTACCCCAGATCTTGCTTTGTCTTCACTATATGTAGCTGCAACTTCATTGAACTTCATCCCTCCCTTTAACTTTTCCATAGCTTCTAAACATTTTGACTGTTTCTCACAAAGAATGTGTCTAACCTAAAACAAAACAAAAAATCTAATTTTTACCACAATAAAGCTGTGTTTTATTTTACGATGTATCATTAGCACTCCGATTACTCCAAACATATATCTAATATACATCCCCTGCTTTATTAAGTGTATGTTTTGTGATGTATTAGATGTTATGTTTTTACCATTTTCAGTTTACTCAAGAAATCACAAAAAATGCACAGACATACATTTAAATTTTCTGAGATTTCTTATTTAAATACATCCACTTTGAGTAATACAAACAGATAAGAAACAGGATTGCATCTGGGTGTTTTCACCCTTATTATCAATGATAATATCTTTTAGAATTATCTAAATTTTTGCAGATAATCTAAATTGTTAGAAGTGAAAATCTTCATAGTATAATATATTTGAGATCATATGGGACTATTATCATGATTATACAAGTTTTTTCTAATGAAAATTTAAAGATCTACATTTAACTGCAATTTGTATAGTTTTCCTTTGATCCTACTGCCTAACATTTGTTTAGAGCACAGATAGGACTTGATACTCTAAAATATTAGGCAATGAAATCACATATCAGTGCAGTAACGTTGCATGTTCATGTCCATTTGCATCAATTTATCAATAAAATGCAGTGGTCTAAGTAGTTGAACTACTGTATCACTAGCCAGTCAACACTGAGGTTGTGAGTTCGAATCCCATATGTGGCAGGTGCGCTCGACTCCAATCTTAATTTACTAGGATTGCCACTTTTCCTGCTGAAGGTCGGTGGTTCTCTCCGGGCACGACAGTTCTTCCACCAATAAAAACTGAAATAGCACAATAGTGTTGAAAGTGGTGTTAAAAACCAACCAATCAATCAATATTAAATCATGTGGTCATATACATTTTTTTTGTACATATGGAAATGAGATGTGCCAATGCTAATACAACTGCTACCAAATACCATTGACTTTTCATAAGTCGTTCCCTTTAAAAAAACCTAAACACAAACATTAACTTGTAAACTAAGCAAAAGTTTCAAAGTCAATAGACCATGACTGAAGGGGCGGGACCAAATAATCTACATGGAAATGAGATATGCCAATGTTTATACAACTGCATACCAAATATCATTGACCTACCACTAGTGGTTTACCATAAACTGATCTAATCACAAACTAATACATGTACATGAAAACTAAGCAAAATTTTCAAAGTCCATAGACCATGACTGAAGGGGCGGGGCCAAATAATCTCCATGGAAATGAGATATGCCAATGCTTATACAAGTGCATACCAAATATCATTGACCTACCACTAGTGGTTCCCCATAAACTGACCTAATCACAAACTAATGCATGAAAACAAAGCAAAGTTTCAAAGTCAAAAATTCGTAAGGGTTCCATGGAACCCAGTGTCTAGCCTACTTTTGCTGTTAATTGCAGGCTCAACAAAAATGAGGAAAAAAATCAATAAAAATATTCCTTTAGATACTATCTTTTGATTGTAAGAAGCTTCTGTCAAAGTTTGGTATAAATCCAGGATAGTTTATGAATCTAATAAATGTTTTAAAAACTTTAACTGCAGACTGTATTTAATGTTAACTGGAAGAAAAACTAAGTCCATTTATAAGTAAAATACGGATAAACAGGTACAAATTTTAACGAAATTTCCTTCTAGATACTAGCTTTTGATCATAAACAAGCTTCTGTTCAAAATTTGGTACAAATCCAGGATAGTTTAAGAAAGTTATTAAAATTTTAAAAACTTTAACCACAGAGTGAATGTATTGTTTCCTGGCAGAAAAACTAAGTCCATTTATAAGTAAAATATGGAAAAAAAGAAATTTTTTTTTTAACAAATTTACTTCTGGATACTATCTTATGATCATAAACAAGCTTCTGTCCAAGTTAGGTACAAATCCAGGATAGTTTAAGAAAGTTATTAAAATTTTAAAAACTTTAACCACAGAGTGAATGTCATGTTTCCTGGCAGAAAAACTAAGTCCATTTACAAGTAAAATATGGAAAAACAGGAATTTTTTTTTTTTAAATTTACTTCTGGATACTATCTTATGATCATAAACAAGCTTCTGTCCAAGTTTGGTAGAAATCCAGGATAGTTTAAGAAAGTTATTAAAATTTCAAAAACTTTAACCACAGAGTGATATTTGTGGACGCCGCCGACGACGACGGAATGTAGGATCGCTATGTCTCGCTTTTTCAACTAAAGTCGAAGGCTCGACAATAAACCATGACTGAGGGGGCGGGGCCAAATAATCTCCATGGTAATGAGATGTGCCAATGCTAATTCAACTGCATACCAAATATCATTGACTTACCACTAGCTAGTTAAATCACACACTAATACATCGTTGACGATGCGGCCACCACCGGAAACAGCATACCTATGTCTTGCTTTTTGACTCCGTCAAGGCGAGACAAAAATAACTGACGCCACTGCCAAATCAGTTCCACTAATGAAAAGGAGTTTAATTCAGCTGAATTTTGGCCTGCCAACTCATCCAACTATTTGAAAAGGAGTTTCATCCAGATGAATGAAAGTCTGCCAACTCACCCCACTTATAAAAAGGAGTTTAATCTCAATGTATAAAAAGCCAGCCAACTCGCCCCACTAATGCAAAGGAAAGTTGGTTCTGGTCTGAATTCAGCAGGATTAAACTCCTTTTATTATGCTTAAATAATGAGGGAGTTTGCTTGCTTTTATAACAGTGGGATACAACTTCTTTTAGTTAGTGGGCTAGTTGCAGCTTCATGTAGGTCTTACATGTAATTCAGCAGGATTTAAACCCTTTTTAATATACACCTTATCGCTATTTGGAAATCTGCGTCAGTTGACCCGAAAATCTGCACCGCTTGAACTTTTGACGTCATACAACAATCAATTTTCCATTGTGGCATCAGATATTTTCTATTGTGACGTCATAATTTTTCGGGTACCTTTGTGATGTTCAGTAATGGTGGACAAATAGCGATAAGGTGTATTACTGGGTCGAGTTGGTTCAGGACAATTTGGCAATGGGGCAAGTTGTCATGGATTCAGGTTCATGGATGTCGCATTAAAATAAATAACTTTTATATGAAACAACTGCATGTCAACTTAAAATTCTTTTGTATCTGGGACATTAATATATAATCTATTGGTCCCAGCATTGCAGCAAGGAAATTGTACTAAAACATTTAGATAACAGAGCTTGGAAGATTTCCTATCTATTTTACTATTATTTTATCAATGTTAAAATATTGTCATAGACTGGAATGTTTGAAAGAAGGATTATTGCACGGCCCCAACTTGTCTGGCAAAACAGCCGTTGGACGTCAGAGTAATCTCGGACTATACAATCCCTAGGTCCCAGGTTGTACATTGTATATACTTTGACAGCGTTTCCTCCTTTTGCTTGTTTTCCTTCATCTCCACCACCTTCTGCTCCTTTTCCTCCTTTTCCACCACCCTTCCCTCCTCCGCCACCTTTATTTTTAGGCATATTTGTTTGTTTACAGTTTCCAAAAACACGTGTGTTAAATCAAAACAGGAAGTCTATTTCACATGTAAGATGAAATATGATTGGATAAATGTTTTCAATTGACCAATCAATTATTGTGACTTAAAGAAAACTTGGTACGATTTACAAGATGGATGCAAAGTGAAACTAGACCAGAGATTATCCTATCACAATTTAAAAGAAATGTCAGGCGGTGAATATGGTCCAGCTTTACCACCAGGCAAGTACCTAAAATAAAACAATAAAGGTTAAACCAATGTTTGATGGTCTGGATTTACAGAAAAGGGAATAATAATACTATTACAACAGAAAAATGGGCCAAAATTTGGCAAAAAGATAAAGAATAGAGAAAAATGGGCACCAAAAAAATAAGAATAAAGAATACGGAGGTGCTTTAATATGAAGAATAGTGATTAATAGGCCAAAAATACAAATAAGAAAGAAAAATGAGTTGTCCAAAAAGATAATGTCTGTACTGTTGGGTAAATGCAATATGCCTAAAAGTTCTTCTCAGTACTTAAAGCATGTACAGTGATCAGACCAGTCTGCACCAAGATCTTTTACAACTACTAGTCCGAAATCCAATTTTCCAACATTTTTCTTATGCGTCTAAACAAAGTTTTGCAAAAGCTTACTATTCTGATGTGTCTAAACAAAGTTTTGCAAAAGCTTACTATTCTGATGCGTCTAAACAAAGTTTTGCAAAAGCTTACTATTCTGATGCGTCTAAACAAAGTTTTGCAAAAGCTTACTATTCTGATGCGTCTAAACAAAGTTTTGCAAAAGCTTACTATTCTGATGCGTCTAAACAAAGTTTTGCAAAAGCTTACTATTCTGATGCATCTAAACAAAGTTTTGCAAAAGCTTACTATTCTGATGTGTCTAAACAAAGTTTTGCAAAAGCTTCCTATTCTGATGCGTCTAAACAAAGTTTCGCAAAAGCTTACTATTCTGAATAATATTTTACTAGTCTGGGGCATCCGACTAGTGGCTAATGGTGCAAACTGACAGACAAAAGTAGCTTATATATAATGAATTGCAAACCCTAATGTTTTCTCTTCTCCATCTTGCACTTGACAAAGTTCAGCTCCTATGGTGTCATTAGAAGCATCTGTATCCAGTATGTATGTAACATGTGATCTAGGGTAGCTGTAATATGACTGCCTCAATCAAACTGTACTTCAATGTATCAAATACTCGTTGGTGTCGTTCTTGCCAAATAAAAGGTTCTTTAAGTCTTACAATGTCATTGAGAGGTACTGCTACACTGAAATATTTTGGTATGTGGTCCTGATGGTAATTCATCAACCTATAACATTTGTAAAAAGGACTGTATGTTTTTTTACTCTTTGGAATGGGCCAATTTCTAACAGCTTAGACATTTCCTTGATTGTCAGACTTTAAACCCTTCAACACTGACAATCTTTCCTAGGAATTTAACTTTTTGCTGAAATAAACTGCACTTTTTTGGTTTCAATTTCAAGTTGTACTTCCTGAATCTGTCCCATACATGCTTTTAAGTTTTCCAAATGATTGTCAAAACTGACGCCTAGTACACAAACATCATCGAGATAGGCATGGCACTCTTTCCCTGTCAGTTCTTGCAAGACTAGCTGTATCATGGTACAGACAAGACACCGTGATAATACGCTATGCATGCTCTATTGTTATCAGAACAAGCTGATAGACATCAACAAGAGTACTTACCTCAAAGGTTGTGACAGTAGAACTTGTGGTGGACACAACTTTTACCAACAGAGGTTCACCAGTGATGTCTACAGGAACTCATTCTTTCTAAGAACAATCATGGAATGGGATACATTACCTGCCAAGGTTGCTGAATCGGAATCCTTTGAAGATTTCAGCTCAGGGCTACAGACTACACATTAATACTGGAGTACACATTGTAAATAATTTAAACCGTAACACATCTGATTTGATTGCAAATTACTGTATATAGCCTTTGGGGACTAGATTTGTAATGTCACCATGCGTAGTCGCCGCAGAGTTTAAAAGTTCCTTTTAATGTATAATACACCTTATCACTATTTATTCCTGTCCCCATGCATAAGTTCTGAAATTTCACAGCTTTTTCATGACTTCAGAATCCAGTTGTTGATATCTGGGGCCCTGTTTAAACAATGTATTGTGCATAAACTTGTCAAAGAGACATGTTTAAACCACTGTAAACACTTCAAACAAAGCATTTTTATTACTTAAGTTTGTGTTTAAAAAAATTAGATCATAAACTATCAAAATTTTAAAATGTTCACTTTCTGAATGTTTTTTTCCCTCAGCTCATTACTGGTGACCTTTGTTTTTGCATTACTTGACCCAAACACACAGTTGTCTGAGTGACTGTTTTTTTCTGGATTGGACTAAATAGCTGTAAGGTGTATATACCTTAGTATACTCAATCTTCAATCTTGAGGCACAAATTGTCATGATGTGCAGGTTTACTCCTTCATGCTTTATGCTCAAATGATATACATGTACATAGAATAATGGCATTTTTGTTTTTGATACTGACTTTATCAGCAAGAATATCAAGCGAGCCTGTTTGTCCAAGCTGATATTCGAGCTGATGAAGTCAATATAAAAAAATAAAATGCCATTATTCTTTTTATTGGCAGTTTGTATTAACTGTATGTTTTTTTGGTTGAGAATATGAAGTGAAATGAAATAGTTAGTAAAACTACTTTTATGCGTACAAAACGTTGGGATACATGTAGTTGTTCTTTTGTATGAATGAAGTCGCATGCATTTCATTGATAAATTGACGTGGATGAACTTGATCAGGTGACGTTGCTGCACTGATACATGATGTCATTGCCTAATATTTTCGAGTATCAAGTCCTGTCCATGATCTTAAAAATATTAGGCAGTAAGATCAAAGGGAAAATGTACAAGTTTCTGATAAAATGTATTAACCTGAATATTCAAGCCATCCCTGTGATCGACCCTCCCACTAGCAAGGACCTGAACTCTTAACGATAAAAACATGTCACAAATCCAGGACTTTGATTGGTGCTCCCTGGATGAGAGAGCCAATCAGCTGGTAGCTTATTGTTATCGAGATAGGTAAATCCTAAGCTAATTCCTAATAATTAATTGCCTATTTTTTATTGACTAGGCCTTTAGCTATCTTCGATCAGCGAATTATAAAGACTGAATCATTCAAATCGGATATGTAAAGAGAAACTTATTGGGGTTGATATAACGAAAGTGATTGCAATAAAGATGAAAATAAATAGCACAATGGCATATTTTTGCGTTGCCAGGTGAGCACTTCAGACTCTTGCTTTTGGTGGTTTTCAGATATTAATTGATATTGTTGAATTTTTTTTCAGGATTACAAAAGACTGAAGACAGTGAGAGAGTAGCTGGACCTGAGCTGCCACCACATCTGAGAAGAACTTCCAAAAATGAAATTGAACCTAGCTTACCACCAACAGTGGCAGGTCCTATTGGACCTTCTTTACCGCCTCATTTGATGAAAGACCTTCATAATGTGGATGATATAATTGGACCAGCAATGCCCCCACAGATTGATAATCCTGAAAGTGACTCTTCGGATGAAGAATCAATAGGTCCAAAACTGCCTTTTCAACTAAAAAATAAAGGAAATACTTCAAATAAATCATCAGTAATTGGGCCTTGCTTGCCACCTCATTTAACAGCTAATAAATTACAAAGTACTGGTCCTCAACTCATTTTAAAGGGAAATAACTCTGATAATGAAGATGATACTGATGTGATAGGACCAATGCCATCTGAAATGTTAAGAGGAGATGCCAGTAGAAGTACAGCAGCAGAAATAGAATCAAGAGCAAGACAAATGAGGGACAGACTGGAAGGAAAGGTTAGAATTTTCTGTATTGACTTATTTTCATGGTGATTTTTACATAAATTGTAAGAAGTAATATTAAAACTTAAAGTTTGCGTAATTGGCATGAGTCAAGCCTCTTTTTAACTAATTTTGCATATAAAAATAAGAAGATGTGGTATGATTTCCAATGAGACTGCCAATTATCCAGATTATGTGGATGTGAGCGACTATCGGTCAAAACCCATACTGTATAGTCAGCTATAAAAGGCACTGACATGACAAAATTTGAAACACTTCAAACCAAACAAGAAAATGAATCTAGATGACAAAACAATTCAAGAAAAACATATAGTACAGACAGCAACCAATGGCAACCACCGAATTACAGGCTTCTGACAGTCTGTTCTAAATTTGTGTGGTTGGGAGGGTTGAACTCTCACAAGTATTCTTTAGTTTATGTGGCTTTCCCAAGCCAGGAGGAGCCTGTAGTCCAGTGGTTGTTTTTGTTTGTGGTCTGTCATAATTGTTTTTTGGAAGTTTGGAACTAGTATTCAAATTCTTTCCTAAGGCACCACCTTATACACATGGAAGTTTATCAAACTAGAACAGAAGCTTCTTTATGATCAAAAGATAAAAAAAAATTACACAGACCAAAAAAAAAATATTGCATTTGACTTTTAGATACAGTCTAAGTTAAAGTTTTTGGGACAATAACCTTGTCAGATGTCAAGGATTTTTAGGAAACTTGGACAAAAGCTTCTTCATGAGCCAAAGACAGTATCTACATTAAAATTTTGAAAAAAATATTTTTTCTTCATTTTCAGTATTTGACTGTTTTTCAGACACAATAGCTTTGTCAAATGTTCATAGAATTTTTATGAAACATGGACATAAGATTCTTCACGGTCCATAGACTATATTCAGATCAATATTTGGAAACATTTTTTTTCATTCTTAGGTATGTTAACTGATAAATGAACTTTTAATTTTTATTTGCAGGTAATATTTAGATTCAATCTTAGATTAAAGACTTTCAGACATTTTAAATAACTTAATTTTTTTTCAAACCTTAATTGAATTTGTTCAATATTTAACAGAAGCTTCATCCTGAACAAAAAATAGCATCTGATGACAAAAGATTGATTTTTTATACGCCTGTTTACGGGATGTATTATGATATACCGTTGTCCGTTGCCAACATGTCGGACATTAACTCAAAAACGAATTTAACCAATTTGCATAAAACTTTGGTGAATTGTTTATATCTATTGACGTGAGCTCCCTTTCGTTTTTTATAAATTTTAGATTTTACGTTTACGAGTTATGTGGTTTTTATTCATTAAAAAAAGGGGGATTTTCCAGTTTTCGGACAATAACTCAAGAATGCTTTCACCAACTTGCAAGAAATTTTGGTTAATTGTTTATATTTATTGACATGAGCTCCCTTTTGATTTTTATAAATTTTAGATTTTATGTTTCCAAGTTACAGGGTTTTATTCATAAAAAAAGGGGGATTTTCCAATTTTCGGACAATAACTCAAAAATGCTTTCAGCAGTTCTCATGAAACTTTGATGAATACTTGATATCGGTTGATGTAAGCTCCCTTTAGAATTTTATAAATTTTTTATTTTATATTTCCGAGTTATGGGGTTTTATTCATTAAAAAAGGGGGGATTTTCCAGTTTTCAGACAATAACTCAAAAATGCTTTCAGCAATTCTTATGAAACTTTGGTGAATTGTTTATATCTATTGATGTAAGCTCCCTTTAGAATTTTATAAATTTTATTTGCTTATAGTCTTACAACAGATTAACTAAGTATTGCACAACAGCATAGTGTATTGCACAACAGCAAGAAATCTTTAATTGAATATAAATTCAATTCATATAACCAATTTCAAGCATAGGATGATCCAGGGGGCCCTGAGGGCCCGCCCCCCCCCCCCCCCCCCCCCCCCTTTTGTGGGAAAAATGTGGTTGATTATATAGAGAATCACTGAAGCATGACTGGAGAGTGCCCCCCCTTAGGTCAGTCAGCGGGCCCCCCTTATGAAAAGTTCTGGATCATCCACTGTCAAATTCTTTGACTACATTTATTCAGAAACCTATAATATGTCAAAAATTTAATTACAATCCAAATTCAGACCTGTATCAAGCTTGAATATTGTGTCCATTTTTGCCCCAACTGTTCAGGGTTGGACCTCTGAGGGCGTATCCAGCTGCGCTCAGCGAAGCAGTTTATTCAATTTTTCGGTATTTTGCTGAAAAATGGACTTAGTTTTTGGCAGTCAATATTACACTTTGTGAGACACGTGGTGCCGTTGAACCCATTATAATTTTTTCACATCGATACTATCCAGCAAAAAATTGTAAAAATGCTAAAAAATACTTATTGGAAAAGGTTTTCTTTTTTTTATTGTTTTAAACTAAATACTGACATTTCATATGATATTGTTAATTTAGAATAATAAAGAAGAAAAAATAACTCGAGAATCCTGGATGATGGAGCTACCTTCTGCTGAGCTAAATCAGAGTTTAGGTTTACAGGCTCGCACCTTCCGAGCAAAAGCTGGCCCAGATATGTCAGATAGATCAGGATGGACTGATACTCCAGCAGACAGGGAAAAGAAAGCAAAAGTAAAAAAGATATCTGAAACATTATTTATTTGAAAGTAGTATACATATATATAATATATAAGTCTAAATTGAAAACAACGTTCAAACCTATGATATATATATGTCTCTGCCATATTTTACAACTAAAGAGTAAATTTTATGGTGGTGCTTTGTTCCAAATTAATATCATAAATGTCCTTTGATTGAAATTGTCGCTTATAGTTCATCATATTTGCCCATATTTCCAACACAGCTAAAGCATTTATTTTATTACTAAATATTAACTATTGAAATTTTACGAAATTGATTTTATAATATTCTTCTATCACAAGCTTTATTAATAGTGATGTACAAATGTATATAGTAAAATACTTTGCAGTGACATTACTTAAAGTAAGCATCATTTAACATTTATAACTCATTGATTTTTTTCTCACTTCCTACAAAGTCAGTGGAAACATTTTATGATAATTAATAACTACATGTACATTTCCAGGAAGAAGCAAGCAGAAAACGTCCACATGATGATGTTAGACAGTCAGAAAGTGATAAACAGAGGTCTAAAGAAATAAAAAAATATAATGTAAGCTGTATAAACAAACCCCCATCTCTCTTGATAACAGCAGGTTAGAAGAAAAAAAGTTCTGGTATATTTGACAATCCTTTCATTCATTGATGTGACTGATTCAGAGATGTTTAAAATTTTACTACAGGTACATTTATTTTATGAGGTCCTACATAAACCATGGATTTTGAAGTGATCATCTACACATGAATATACTTTTAAATATATGCATGAAAGAACAATTTTTTATATATCATAGAGACTTTAATTTCCATATATGAAAATTGCATTACCAGGCATAATAATATTAAATACTGAAAAAACAAACATTTTGGAAAATTGGTTTTCGGTTGGTAGCTTGACTTTCCCTTTCTTGATTGAATTAAAACTTATACAGATGGAAGATATATGTACATAAATATATCAGAGATGTGCGTATAATACTGATTCAGTATCGTGAAATTAAACAATGTATGATCAAAATTACAAGCTGTTGAACTGATATGAATTGTCCCAAATCTCTTTGCAGTTTGTAAATACAACTTTTCATACTGTAACTTGCAACCTAGAACTTTTTGTATTGCTTGTTATCTGTACACATACCAAAGGTAGGCGTATTAGAGAAAAACACACATTTTATTTTTAACTCAAGTAATTGGGGCCAATTATTTGATTCACTATGATATTCAAATATTATAATTGTTTATGATATTTTAAAAGTTCTTTTTAATTTTAGATTTATGATAATTATTTATTATGTGTAAATCATATTTCTGTAGTTATTAGCTGATTTATACATTTCTGAAGAGTTGATTAATTTTTTTCAAGTTCACTTGATCTCAGTGCTTAATTGTTCGAAACTAATAATGACATCAAAGTTTCTTAATTTTATCTGATTTCACTTTTGAATTCACTAAAAAAAGTTGACCATGATGAAAGAAATACAATTTTTTGGAAGACGTTTGCCGTCCCATTGTCTTAAAACCATTAGAGCTCAGGCAATACGATAATTTCTTTTGCTAGTCTATATTTATCATATGTCATTAATATTATTTATATATCTTAAATAGTTTTATTATATCAAAATTGTTGATTATTTTTAAAATAATTTGCATATAATGATTTTATTATTATGATCATACAATGATGATTATAATATTCTTTTTTTATTTAATAAAGAATATTTATTGCATATTAAAAATACTATATTACTATTCTCATATGACTCTCTTTAAACACTTAGAGTCTGCACTGGTGGTAAAATACGAATATATTGTATAATTGGGCTGTTCCAATCATACCCCCATGTCTTAGGCTTTAATGAATGAGTTACACCAGTTGATCTGAGTCAAAGCGGTGTTAATGTCATCATTAAACGTAGCTATTGCTTGACGTAAAAGATTTGGCATAAAGGGCCAACCAGTGGTAAAATCAGTATAAATTTAAGCTCCCAGGAATTATTTCTTAATACTGGTAATGTGTCAAATCCTGAATTATGACATGGATTGATGATACAACATAAGAATGTACAAATATTATTTTAATTTACAGAAGTCAAATAGGCCAGAGTCATTGTTAGAAATGCATCAAAAAGAACTAAAGAAGAACAAGGTATACTTGACTTTTAATGTAAGACCAGTTTTATAAAACCTGTCCTTTATTACCAATAGCTGATTACTGTTTACAGCTCTTTTCTTAATGCTAGCAAGACAAAGGTTTGTTTGACTTGCTTGATTTGTTTGTAAAAATGTTTGCTCAAGTATTGTAATTAAGATTGACATTTGCAAACAATATAAGTAGGTGGAGTTAAACCTGTGTATAGGTAAATTTGACTATTTGATAATGTCCAATCAAATTTAAATATAATGTATACAAGTTTAAATCCACCTTTTTATGTTGTTTTCAGATGTCAATCTTAATTACAATGCTTGAGCAAACATTGATACAAACAAAGCAAGCAAGCCAAACAAACCTTTGTCTTGCTAGCATTATGAAAAGAGCTGTAATGATGCCCAAGAGTCTAGCTACATTTTGCCACTATTTAGTTTTTATATCTGATGATTATTACATTTTGAGGTTCAATTTTAAATATCACATTAACTTCAGATTCTTTAAAAATGTATACCATTTATACCATATAATGAAAAAAGCAATATTATCAGTTTAATGTTTACCCAAACATTAAATTATGGTATGTGAGTCCAGTTTAAAGAAAAAAATTGTTATCTATTGAATATTAATGTAAAATGAAGAAGAATGAAAATATTGGATGATAGCTTGAAGATTAGAGATAATTTTTACTATATATAAATAAGGTCATGTGGTATGATTGTTAATGAGACAACTATCCTCCAAAAACCAAAGGACTCAATGTAAACAACTGAATGCAAACAACTGCAGGTCACCATATGGACCTTGACTATGAGCATAACTTATACCATATAGTAAGTTATATAAGACCCAAGGATGGTAACATGTGAAACAAACCAAAAGGGAAAACTAATGGCCTGGTTTAAACTAATAACATTAAACAAGCAGAGGGCAACTACATGTATTAAAGTTATCTGTAAGTTTCAAGTTCCTTTTCTATAACATTTATCTTATTTCTTTCTAGAAAAAGACTGAGGACAAACCAGCAGAAAGAAGACCATTTGACAGGGAATTGGATCTACAAGTGAATAAATTTGATGATGCACAGAGAAAAGCTATAATTAAAAAATCACAGAAATTAGACAGTAGATTTTCTCAAGGTGGCTCACAATTTTTATAAAAACTTTCACAGAAAAAAACTTTCATTGTATAAGGACATTGAATACATATTAAATTATTTATAAATATGATTGATATATTTATAGCTTTTTTGTACAGTGCATATCCCCATGTAATACCTTGTGTGATAGTTCATCCTCTAATGTTAAGTTTGGGACATTGGTTGATTTTGTTCATAATAGGCATGTCTTTATATTCAAATGATCAAACCAAGGCAGAAATATTTTGAAAAGCCCTCTCCCCACACATTAGTGGGTTTGTTTGAACTAATCTTGAAATTGAGCCTTATGATGTTTCTATTCAGAATTGCATCTTTTTATGGGATGTAATAATTTTATATGGAAAAAGTAAATGATGGTACCAGTTGAATTATAGACACTTGTAAAAAAATTCAATAAATATTTGAGAAATTATGTTATCCTTGGCATTTGGACTTTCATTGGAACATATTTTGTAGTTTTGATCATGTCGTCATAATTATGTAGTATAAAATAAAATAATTCAACATTAATATGCTTTTAAATATTTGGTTTTATGTGTGTAACCCTCAAAATAATAAGACGCACAAAGTTGATTAACATAAATAAAGTATTGTTGAAAATATATTTGCTTGATTTAGTCAAATTGTTCTGTTAAGTTAAAAGAGCATTAATATACACAGGAAGATGGGGTATGATTGCCAATAGAGACAACTCTCCACCAGAAGCAAGCTATAAAAGGCCCTGGCATGACAAAGGTACATCAATTCAAATAAGAAAAGTAACAGCCTGATTTATGTACAAAACGAAAAACAAAATTGATATATAGCAACAAAAGGACAACCACTGAATTACAGGCTCCTGACTTTGGACAGGCACATACAGAATGTGACCGGATTAAATATATTTGCGAGTGCCCAAACCCTCCCCTGACCTGAGACATTAGTGTAACAGCACAACATTAGAACAAACTATAAAAATCATTAGAAAAGAGCAAACTCATCAGATCGATACAAAGCACAAAAAAACAACCAACAAAAACAATAAAAGACACAAAATTCAGATCTGAGAGTACTGGCAGTTTCTGAAAGCTAATTCAAAGCTAATAACCACTAATAAAAAAGCAAGGAATTATTTAAATTCGGAATGATTTTGAATTCTGGAAAATTGATAAGAAATATATGATGAAAACTAACACTATTTAGGAGAGTTCGCCATGCATGCATGGCTAAGGGGGGTTAGTTAGTTCATACTGAAATATCAGTGAAATTAATCTCTGCCATGCCCACATGGCTAACCCTCTTCTATTAGGTTAGTTTTCATCATCAATTTCTTATCAATTTTCCAGAATTCAAAATTATTCCAAATTCAAATAATTCCTTGTTATAGAAGACTAAAATATCAATCAATCCACATCCAATGGATTTAGTGTAAAGACATCATAAACAGTCAGAGAAAAAAAAATACAAAATAAATGTATTGACAGAATGTAGGACTGTGTATATTCATTGCTGTATAGCAATACCTATTAAGGTATGTTTTAATTTATTGATAACAAAATCAATATTTATAATTATATAAACTGTTAACACAGAGATATGTCTCGCCATTTTGCTATTTTGATAATGCTAATGTTGGAATTGAAATAGCAATACTTTAACATGTAAGTTATGCAAATATTTAAAGTCAATGAACCATAGCTGAAGTAACATGTGCCAATGCTAAGACAACTGCATACCAAATACCATTGACTTATCATAAATCGTTCACTTTAAACAAACCTAAACACAAACATTAACTTGCAATCTATGTAAAAGTTTCAAAGTCAATGAACCATGATGAGGGGGTGAGGCTATAGAATCTCCATGGAATAAGACTTGCAAATGCCAATACATTTGCATACTAAATATCATTTACTTAACATTAGTGGTTCATCTTAAACTGACCTAATCACAAACTAATACATGTAAACTAAGCAAAAGTTTCAAAGTCAATAGATCAGGACTGAGGGGGCAGGGCCAAATAATCTCCATGGAAATGAGATGTGCCAATGCTAAGTCAACTGCATACTAAATATCATTGACCTACCACTAGTGGTTCACCATAAACTAGACCTAATCACAAGCAAATACATTGTTGACGACTTTGGAAACAACATACCTATAACCTCGCTTTTTGACTGTCAAGTCGAGACAAAAAAACAATATTCAAAGTTTTAATTACCATGTTAAAATGGTAACCTTTAAGAATAAGCTTATTTAAAGAACATAAAAAGTTTATATGGATCGTATCTAAATTAACGGGCTCAATAATCAAAATCACCGTAAAATCAGTATGTGAAATCCTGTATGTAAGTTTCTTACACAGGTACAGCAAAAATTCCTATCCTGGTTTTAATCAGACTGATAGTAAACGAGCTGTGTTATATAAACACTGTATAATGTTGCCAAAGGAACATCTTTGTCTAAAATGTGAAAATTTACAATAGGGAACGAAAATCCTCCCTTTTGTTGTAAAGTTTCCCGTGTGAAACTTAAATATCTTAATCTAGGAAAGAACAGTTATTGTTGTTTATATTTGATTGATTTAAAGTAACATCCTTCGGGTAAATTACGGCAGTAAATTTAGAGAATGCTTGATTATTTACAAAAAAAAATCATTAAGATAATGGTAAGTGTTGGTGAATTTATCAATTTAGTGGAACTTAGAGGGATCTGTATTGTGTTGGGACATAAACTGTAATTTATAACAATACAGGAACAAGTCTGATATTAAAGGGGTGCAATTGATGCCCATAGGGATACCTACAGCCTATCTATTAACTTTATTGCCGAGACGTTCACATATGTTGTCATTGAGAAAATTTACAGCTAAGCTTAAGTGATCTCATCACACTTCCAGTAAGTATATCTAATATATCCATCTTTTTCATAACAGAAAAAGGCTTTATATGAGTTATTAAAGTTATTGTGAAACTACCTACTCTAGGGGCGACATGAAGACATGAAATAGATGATGATACTAAAAAATTCGAAAGATCTGTTAGATTACATTCAATCTAAATCTCTTCCCTCTTGCAAAAGTATTAAAACTTTTGACTTTTCTACACTTTACACAAGTATTCACACTTCCAAACTAAAAAACAGATTGAAAGAATTGGTCCTGTTTTGTTTCATAAAAAAGTAATGGCCAACGTAATAACAAGTATCTTGTCTTAGGGAAGGATAAATCGTACTTTGTAAAAATCACTCTGATTCAAACAAAAAATGCTCTAAAGCTGCTTGATTTCTTGATCGACAACATATTTGTTACGTTTGGAACAACAACAGTTGGCAATCCATGAGAACCAATTGTGCTCCTCTTCTTGCAGACTTGTTCCTTTATTCATATGAGGGTGACTTCATACAAGAGATTCTTAGGAAGAATGAAAAGAAATTGGCATTATCTTTTAACTTCACGTTCCACTATAGAGATGATGTCCACTCACTAAATAATTCAAATTTGGTAAATATGTTGAACGCATCTATCCCATCGAACTTGAAATAAAGGATGCAACAAATAAAATTAAGTCTGCCTCTTATCTTGACTTACATAAAGAAATTGACAATGAGGTTCGGTTGAGAACAAAACTTTACGCCAAAAGAGATGATTTCAGCTTCCCAATTGTGAACTTTCCATTTCTATGTAGCAACATTCCAGCAGCACCTGCATATGAAGTATATATCTCCCGTTTAATACGATATTCCAAAGCATGCATTTTCTATCATGGTTTCCTTGATAGATGATTGCTGCTAACAATAAAGCTGTTGAACAAAGAGTTCCAAGTGGTGAAGTTGAAATCATCCCTTCGAACATTTTACGGAATTCATCACAAATTGGTTGGCCGTTATGGAATATCTTTAACAGATGACGACGGATATGTTCCAATTGTTGTAACCAATATCCCGTCCTCTTTTCCTCGCCTCGAATGTGACCTACTGAATTAGACGTATCACTGAGTTTGTACTTACATAAACAACACGACGGGTTCCACATGTGGAGCAGGATCTGCTTACACTTCCGGAGCACCTAATATCACCCCCGCATTTCGTTTTTTTTGCCATGGCATTGTAACTTTGTTTTCAATTTATGAGTTTGAATATCCCTTTGGTATATTTCGCCTCTCTTTTGCAGCAAATACATTTGCAAGCAGATTTTTAAAACGACCATTTTATTGAATAGAAAAACTTTTGTTTGATAAAATTGTTTAGAAGTGTAGTATAGAGAGTCGAAAAATCAAAACTGTCAATCGAAAAACCGCCAAAAGGACGTAGTGTATCTTAAACATTAACAGAATTGTCTGTACTTAATTTCATTTGCTTTATTACACAAGTTAATGATATCTTTAATGGAATAGGAAAACTTTTGTTTGATAAAATTGTGTGGAAGTGTAGTACAGAGAGTCGAAAAATCAAAACTGTCAATCGAAAGACGATCAAAAGGACGTAATTTATATAAAACATCCACAGAATTGTTAGACTTTATATTTTCATTTGCTTTATTACACTAGTTAATGGTATCTTCCTTTGAAAGTAGTTGAGGAAAGAATTAACAGCATCGAAAATTAGTCGTATAACACTTACTAGAGGTCGAGATGAAACGATATTTAACCGCGTTTTTGTGTGCGTGTAGATTTGGTACCCAATACACAGTAGGACAGTAGGAACATTCAAATGATTAGAGGAGGCCATAAGTTGCGGTGTAATGATATAATTCTTTACGATTTTACTCTCTGTTGAGAACACGGACCTGAATGTAGAAGAATTTATAATTTCATTCATAATTAAAGAACTTCTGTTCATGGGAAGACAATATAATATATTTCTGAAGATTTGGGTAAATTAAAACACATTAAAAGAAAATCTATGTACATCTAAATTGATAATTTCATTCATAACCACTTCATTTTGGGGCCTTTTATAGCTTACTATGCGGTATGGGTTTTCCTCATTGTTGAAGGCCGTACGGTGATCTATAGTTGATAACTTCTATGTCATTTAGAATTTAGTCTCTGGTGGAGAGTTGTCTCATTTGCAATCATACCACATCTTCTTATTTTTTTATTCTGTGTAGTATGTACATCATACCACCGACTAATTGTTGGCTGATTTATCAGTTATTTTATTTTAAAGTCATATCCGATATGATCCTTCAAATTTAACTAAAAAGATAAAATGTTTTTGATATACTTGAATATCTCTAATTTATACTATAGAATATATGTACATAGATTTTCTATTGAAATAGAATGTTTTAATTTATCCAAATCTTCAGAAATGTATTATATTGCCTTCCCATACCGTCTAATTTGCAGCTTTTCCGTAAGAAGTGACCTTAACCATGACACTATTCGACAATCGCACAGCGCAGATAGAAAGGGAAAAACCGGGATGGACGAAAATCAATTTACAGCAAGTTCGTTAATTGTTTTTTTTTTTTTTTTTTTTTTTTTTTTTTTTGCAGTTTTAGTTAAGCATTCATTTTGGTGAACCAG